AATATGAGCTTAATTTACTTAGTTGCCATTGAATTCTTTCCCAGCCTAATTTAGCAGTATCTGCAAGACACTAGGGGAACCCAAAGATAACAAAATGCTTTGGTAAATTGATCATGCCCTCTTTGATATTCCTTCCGCATGGTAAGATCTATGAGGAGAACTGAAACAGAGACCTTATGATAGATTTTCCCTCAGTATTTMAGGGAAAAATTATAATTGTAAATATTCTTMTATTTATTTGTGGCTGCAGTTCATTCATTTCTGTTTACTGTGWATTTATTTGCAGATGCCAAAAAGAGCAAAGCCAGTCATCACCTGAATATGTGGATACTTCTTACTCTGGTCCTCATCATTTTATTAGGGCTGGGCTTCATGATTTATTTTTCATTCAAGATGAAAACTCAAAGTGAAACTGGAAGAGAGGCGAGGCATAGCAGCATAAAGGTGGAATACCGCCGTGCCCTAAGTGCAGAGGACAACAAAARTGATGCTACCAATGACAAAGAAAAAAATGAACACAGTGTTGTCTGATGGGATAACACAGCCAAAATAAATGGTTAAGACAAAAAAATATAGCTGACTAAAGGAAACTTTAGTCTCTATTAGGTGCTTGCAACTTTTACTATGAGCTAAAGTTGGCAGTTATTCCTTTGGTAAAGATTAGGAACGATTGTTGTATGCTCTTCAATAAATACTCTCAGGTATTTATTGGTTTAGTACTGTACAAAATGGCTAATCGAGCAAGCAAGAAAATAAAAAATCAGGGGGAATTTAGATTAGAAATATATGGGTTATTCATTCAGAATGTGTGCAGCATCATATACAGAACCAGGACTGACACCGAGCACTCTTTGCAGAGCGCTCAGCCCTGGGAGAACCTCACCATGCTCTACTGAAGCATGCACACTGTTACTCAAGTGGAGCTTGGAATAAACAGATTTACACGAAYTGTTTGTCCCCATTGCTGCCCTTGTCTTGTACCCTTTACTGAAATATCTCCCTTCCCACAATGTTATAAGAGAAATGCAAATACTTGTCTTTCATTCATGGCTTCAACTTAGATTTTGCAAAACAAATAAACGTTTGTATACAGTCTTATTTTATGACTCTGAATAATTTTTATCAGTTATGAACATGAGAATATATCAATAAACAATCGATATATTGCATAATAATTCTTCAGTGTCTAATTAGCACACTAGGATGTTATATGACTTCTTGACTAAATGAGTCTTCTGTCTTAAAAGAGAGGCTGCCAGGAGGCAACACAGAAACATGAACACAGCATATGACTAAAAAACCATAAATAAACAATATATAAAGTACATAAAATAAATATATATAAAATACATAAAATAAATATATATAAAATAAAGTAGTTGCCAGATAAATTTGGAAGAATCCATTCCTGGTTTTATTTTGCTTGATTACTCATTGTAGGATATCTTTGCTTATTATCCCCATCTCTCTGACAAATGGACTGACAACTGGGCACGGTGTCCATGTTACAGGCCAGTAAAACAGTGGGGCACACACCAGTGCCTTTCTAGGGAAATGTTTTAAAGGTTTATTGAGCTGTTTAAGTTTTCATGAATTTTCTGTTGCCTGTGATACACTGGAGAAAAAAAAAGATCCCAAAGATTACTGGGAATAGCCAACCTTTGGAAAGTACATAAGAACTCCAGAGGAGAAGTCACATGACATTGGATTGTATATTTGTAGGTATGGCAATTAAACAAAACATATTGCAGAGGATAAGGAATAAAGGGCATTTTGTACTCAAACTGCTTTTAATGACAGTCCTCTTGATCTCACTTTTTTTTTCCCCTTCAKGTAAGTTACAGAAAATACACATAGTTTTATTTTTTTGTAAATATTGGACTGGATTCAGTGCTGTTTGATGGCAAAGMAAATAAAAWKAATAAAAAGATTTTWAAAATTAYRAAATAATATTTATACATATTATTAYATATAATKATATAATATATATTATATATATTTAAATTTTTTATATTTCATATTTATAACACAGCTCTGAAGACTCTGTACTSTGTGAACGAGTTTCTTCTGTCATATTAAGTGATGTTTTGCTCTTGCAGAAAATACCGTGAGATTTGTCTTCATAATAAAGCCAAAAAAATGAGAGAAAATTTGAAGGGTAATTTCAGGTAAATTTCTTTCCTCTCTTTTCTTCAAAATAACTAAGGGATTTTGCATCATAGCTATAGTARTTCATTTCCACTTAATAAATGACTGCAGGTGACTTCTAAAATTTGAAAATGTTCATCTTTCCTTGTCTCATTTACACTTGGTACAAAAAAAAAGTATTATAATTAATTTTAATCATTCATGGATTAAATAATTTTGAAAGGCAGTTTATTTGCCAAACCATTGGTAACAGGAAGATTTGTGAAAATTCGGTGAATTTGTATCGGTTCTTCTAAGATAAATTCACATGAAATAACAGCACAGTAGTCCTGGTAGTTAATACATTGAATAGATAAAAGGCAGGTGTATACATAGTACTCGGTTTGTCAAGTCATTGGGCAAAATTAAATTGTCTGGTGTGGGTTAATTTTTCATACTCAAATAGTCAACATTGTTCACTGCAGTAAATTAAATCAATATATCTTCTGCAGCAATGAAGACCTATCTGGCTAAGAAATTTGCATMTATTTTTCCTCTGTGTTTCCCAGGTATATATGTATGACATTTAAGGTACACCCATTTAAAGTGCATTCCCTGCTTTGTCTTTGAGGGTCAGAATGTTACAATTCCAGCACAGAACCAAGAAAGATAAAAATAAKTCAGTGCAATGATCTTGAACTGTTCCAACTTTGCCACTTGCATTTGAATTCATGGAAACTTCACTTTCAGACACAAAGTTAAAATTTTGTAACAATTTATAGGTTTCAAAATACCACATGTGACAGGGTATTTCCTCATTTAGAGCCCAGAGTTTTCTCTTTCAACAAAAAATCTCCAATACTGAGAAGGAGCCAGCGCCAACTGAATTTTTAAGGACCCCTGCTGCAGCAATTAATTTCATCTCATCTCTCTGTGAATAAGAAGACAGAATGAAACACTTGAGCTTTTGTACAGTTTTAGTTYTCCTCTCATTTGTTCATGCTTCTTTCCAGACACTCGGTGAGTCTATTTTTTCCTATCCCCTGCAAAAGTGGATATGAAAGTGGGTATCTTTGTTGTCTTGCTGGTTTCTCAGAATMTTTAAGATTTTCACAGAGCTTTACTACTCTGTATTTACTACTCTATACTTGCCCTAACGGGAGTTGTCCACAAAAATTTCCAAAAGACAGATATAGAGATGTTGATTTACTTTTAAAGAGAGTGAGATACCCAAAATGGGGTAAAGCTGGGAATCAGAAGTCAGGACAGAGTTTGGTAATTGGTTATGTTTGCTACTGTAAAGTAGATGGACTTCCCAGTGTGCTTCATAGTCCTTGTCTATGTATGTGACTGACTTAAAAAAAAAAAATGAAAAGGATGGAAGAATTAAATAGGGTGTTGTATGTGTTTCTCCTAGCCTTAGCATGAAATTGCGTGGGATGAGATGGAATTTGTGGATTGATGTAAAATGCAACACTGTGTCTGACCAGATGCCAATGAAAAAAAATATTAGGAATATATGAGAGTAAAGTACAGCTGTGGAATAACCACTGCATCACTAAGAGCAAGGCTGAGAAGCATTGTTAAGGTTCTGAAGTTGACCAAGGACAGATTACAGCTCCCTTTTGATGATAGGATGATGATACTATTCAAGTTCAAGGAAGGATGATGATAATATTCAAGCTCAAGGACATGTTTTCTTTAYCCTTCAGTTCATTAGATTTGTGCATATCACAGCTTCCAAAAGCAGGCACTGTGCCACGTGAGCTGACATTCCAGCCATKTGAGAGCCATGACAGCACTGCCCTGTGCAAAAAGGGGGTCTCCCACCTAATCTGAGAGCTGGGAACCCAACCCAAAGGGAACGTCACAGTTTCCAGCATGAATTCCTATTATTATACCCAAAAATTCTACAAGGGAAAATGGTCAAAACTTAGGGGACTACACTAAGCACTTATTTAATGAGGAGTAAGAAACAAAAGATTTAATGATATTTAAAACTTTTTGCCTAAATGAACAAGGAAATACAAAACTAAGTCTCAGCTTCTAATTTAGATTTGAAGAAGTGAAACTTCCATATATTACTGAGCTGGTCAAAGTAATAGAGGGACTTTGAAGCAGAGTTCAAGAACTACTTTTTCTGTCATAGCCTTCCAGAATTTCCCACTTTCTCCTCTGTTCACTATTTAACATTGGCTAGGCCTAACATCCTAGACTTGTCCTAGAAATTTAATTTAGTGTTTGGAGGGGTATCTCACACTCTCTTAGGCATTATTGTCTCATAACTGGCAGACACTGATGCTGCATCTCTGTTTCCAGGCGGGGATTTGAGGCTCAGAGGACTGAAGGGCAAAACCTTGCCCTGCTGTTCTGTAGGTCCTAGAATATTCCCCGTAGTCCAAATTTCAGTCTCTCATGACCCAAAATCTCTATGACCCTTTGAGAGTGTTAATTACCTTGTGTGGCACCCACAGTGCACMGGCATTGCAGGCCCCCTCTATGTGCTGCTCAGTGTTGGTTCTTGTTCGTGATTTGAGAATGTTTGTGATTTATTGAGAGAATTGTGACTTCTTATAAGAAATGTACTAATGAAGTATATTGGATCAAGGCAAGAAAACCATTACACAGTTTTTAATTCCAGAAAAGTCCCCAAACCATAACAGAACATGCCAATTCCAGAAGAAGCARGAGTTCCAGAAGGCTCACTAAGTGTATTAAGAACAGAGGAGACCCCATGGAGATGAATGTAACAGGACTTAAATCTATAACACATGAAAGTGATGGCCAACTTCCAAATTTTCAGGAAAGGTCTCTTTTGGAAATTTAGAATGAAATATGCATTTCAAGAGAAGAGGAAATTCCATTATTATGATCACATTTTTGAAGCTGCCATAATGWAGTTTATGTGTTCTTATTCCTCACTATTGTGTTTATATGTGTTTACTGAGCTGTATTTAATTTTCCTTCCCAGAATGAAATAAGTAATGAAAATGCCATTTGATCCTTGTAAAATATTTGCAGCCTCCTGACATGAGTCAGATCAGCATGGAATAAACAGAACATCTTTCTCCTCACAAGYTCCCCTCACCATGTGCTCACCATAACCATTGATTCTGAATATTTTGTCTTACAGACAAGGAAATATTCTTAATATACAATGAGGATACTAARTTCTGTTTAGTTGCTCAGAGTTCCGAGGCAGTCACAACATCTACCTGCAAGAAAAACAGTGACTTACAAAAATTCAGGTGGGTCTCTGATCATCAGCTAATGAGCATGGCATTTGCACAATGTTTGGGAGTGCCCTACAAGAGAMACCAGGCTAAAATTTCTCTGTACCCATGCAACAAGACAAGTGAATTCCAGAAATGGGAATGCAGAAATGCAGCATTGGCAATCCAAGGGGAAGATTTATTTCTCAGTGCYGGCAAAAGAAAAGAAAATATTATGCTGAAATCAGGATCAGAGCAAATAGATAAATGGAAGATCTATGGAACCATGGATGATTTGTGTTCTCAAAGYCATGAAGGTAAAGTTTTAAAGGTATCTTGATGGTTTATTCAATCCACTTGTTTGCCATCAGAGGTAGGGTCTTTAGATTTCTTAGCCTAATATCAGCTCTTCCCCCTGAAGTAATGGCGAACCAGACAATGATCATTCACATATTCAGGTCTGTATCCCTCCATCCTGGAGAAGCCCAAGTGCTTAGGTTCAGACAGAATGCAGTATGTGCAAAAAATATGCTTTTTTTTCCTTTACTTTTAAAGCAAATGTGGATGCAGGTTATTTTTAATTTTTAGCATTAGCCACTCTTAGTGGTGCCTGGCAATAATACAGTGGGCAGAAACTGAAGCACAGAAAGTTCTGCCCGCATATGAGGAGGAACTTCCTGTACCAAGCCCTGGAACAGATTGTCCAGAGAGGCTKTGGAGTTTCTCTCCCTGGAGATTTTCAATAACTGTGTGTACACAATCCTGTGCTGTGTGGACACAATCCTGTGCTCTGGGATGGCCCTGCTTGAGCAGGGAGGTTGGACCAGATGACMCACTGTGGTCACTTCCAACTTGACCCATTCTGTGATTCTGGGACTCTGCAATCRAAGCACTTTATTTAATTGCATACTATTACTACTGAGATTGTATTAGTATCATTAGATGAAAGAGAAACTCTAATATTAAATGTAAGGAAATAATTCCATGAATGATACCTTCAGTTGCTCTGTGGGATTTCACATGCCAAAAAATCCCACATTTAACAATTAAAATAAATGGTTTACTTCTAAATTAAATCAGTGGTTTACTTTTAATGAATGGTAGGAAGTTAAGCCACATAATAAAAAGCACAGTTTTTAGAAAATTATATTTAAATATATGAGATCAAAATCACTACAGTTCTGTCATAGTTGGCTACAAGCAGAAACTGCTTAATTTCCAGCTGTTATAGCTGAYGATGTACCCCAGAAGCAAACAGTAAATTAATTGCAATATCTACCAAGAACTTCAATGAAGACATTGCTGGTGACAGCAGTTCCCCAGTTACACCGGTGTAATCCTTGTCATTCTTTCTCCAGGTATTCCTATGATGAGAACACACACATGTATATCCACATCCCTAGACTAAAACTTAATTTTCCCCCCCTAGATCTGTTTACACTGTTGGGAAATTCCAACGGTGCTCCGTGTGCCTTCCCCTTCCTGTTGGGAGGCAGATGGTACGGGGAGTGCACGGCTGCTGGCAGGTCAGACGGATTGCTCTGGTGTGCAACAACGCCCAACTTCGACGGGGACCATCTGTAYGGGCTCTGTCCAGCTGCCAGTAAGTCCCACGTGCTGACACAGACACTCTAACACAACACTGTYATGTAAATATATCAATATTGAGATGCTGATTATAATACAGAAGGGAAAAACCTTGCAATGGCCTAATTTTCCCCAAAAACCTTTGCTTCACGCAGTTAACATTCCTGACAGAAGTAACAAATCTTTTGCTATTGGTCCACAGTCAGGCTGAAAGTTGTCTGGATGTGTCCATCAGTGGGTAACACCCAGGAAAAGACCAGTGTGCTTTAAATACAACYGGCTTCAGCATAGAATCACCTGAAAACTGAGATGATCTTCACAGCCTAATACTTATTGATACATGTGATAGCAGTAGTATAATATTTTCCACCCAAGCAAGGTCTGTTCTGTATAACAATATTGGGAGGATGTAGCTTGTTTTTTGAAAAATACAAAATTAATAGATCAGCTCAAAGATTTTTCTGAAATAGTAGCATCATCAACATTTCCCTTTTAATGTTTCAGGCTACATTACAAAATAACGTTATCTTAATTGATAAAAGTACGGGCACTGGAGTGCAGGATCAAGAACACCAAAAAACAATGTTAAAGAAAATATTTAAAATGCTGCCTAAACCTAATTTTTCAGTGCTCTACCACAGAATCACAATTTGYCATTTTGATAGGAGCATTGCTCTGGTAAACCAGGTTCAGCTCACTCTCAACCACCACCAACCACCACAATTTTGCCTGATCTGGTGAAAATTATTCTCTGGTGCAATATTGCAAGCAGTAGCTTGAAAAATCCCATGACATTGTCACTATATAAACTAGAAAACGTGAAGTATTTGGCATCATAAAATTGTTGGGACATTATTACCAATACTTCAGACTACAGTTAAAAAAGAATGTTAAAAATCTGGTAATCAGCAATAAAAAAACAGAGCAAGAAAKAGAAAATATTTCCTTTAAGAAATCATTCAAGAAATTTAATACTTTTTTCTCAACATAAAGAAATTTCAGGGAGGTTGTAATCACAGCTTATTTTAGGGCTTGCCCAGGGAACAGTTTTGCTAACAGTGAGCTCTCAGAAGACAATTTCAAATTACCTAAAACACATGCARACTACAAATACAACCTCAGCTCCCTCAGCTGCTTCTCTCAGGGCCCTTCACCAGCTCCATGGCCCTTCTCTGGACAAGTTCCAGTATTCCAATATCTTTATTGCAGTGAAGGGGCCAAAAGTGAACTGAGTATTTGAGGTGTGGCCTCACCGGTGCTGAATACGGTGGGATCATCACTGCCCTGGTCCTGCTGGCCATTCTGCTGCTGGTACAGGYCAGGATTGGCCTTCTTGGCCACCTGGGCACACACTGGCTCATGTTTGGCTGGTTATCAACCAGCAACCCCAAGTCCATTTCCACTGCACAGCATCCACTGCTCTTCCCCAAGCCTATTGCATCATACTATGTAATTAGTGATGGCATAATGTGATTAGTGATGGCATAATTTCACAAGAAAGGTTCATTACTGGAAATGTTTATATTTCAGTTGTGTTTCAGCCAAGAATAAACTCAGGCATAGCTTATGAGCTACTGATCGTGTTCTTGGAGTAGACAATGACCAAGATAGAGTTTTGATTTATTGATCTCTTTACAATACTTCTTTTCACCTGGAGCTTATAAAATTTGAAGGAGAAAGTGCAAATAAATGAAGAAAGATTCATCTCTGCTAATATGAATGACAAACCCTACCAAAGATCAAGATAACTTGTGTGTCTGAGCCTTATTTGCYCCAAAATTTTATTTCATGAGTAAGCTTGCAGTTAAATTTTGCCATAACATTTTCTGTAAAATGTATATTACAAACTGCTATACTAAATATGTTTTCTCTGACACAGACAGTGACAGATTTTGGAGTAGAGATCCTTTGACTGGAACCTACTACCAGATAAATCACCAGTCAGCCCTCACATGGCACCAAGCARGGAAGAGCTGCCAGCAACAGAATGCAGAATTGTTAAGTGTCACGGAGATACATGAACAATTGTATCTAAGAGGTAAACTAATAAGAAAGATTCAGTAAAAAGTGTTTCAAAAGATTTTTTTTGACTAAGTGTGATGATATTATAATCACATTACAATGTATCATTGACGTAAAAAAATGCTATATATACAAATTAGAAATAGCAAAATTACAGTACATTAAGTTTTTTATAGGTGGAACTTTTATAAGTTGTGAAATTACCATTTGAATTTTTTATATTTATATAAATTTATAAATATATATATATATATATTTAAATTATTCTTTATAAAAAAACCCTAAGTTTCCAGCTAGTTAAGCAAAAGTTAGCTCAAGCTTAGAAAACACTAAAAAYGTCCCAGAAAGGGACCTTAAAAGAAAAAACAACACTTTAGGAGGCAGTCATTATATGGCTATTACATTACAACATGTTCTACAATTATATTTTGTATTTTTAAATCAGTATTCCTCATGTATATCTAATGAAATTGTATTTTTGGAAATKCCATACAAATTTTATACAGACTTTTTAGATTCATGAACAAGAAGGTCCTACATCAATGTCATCACAATCAAGAAAACTTAGATAAACTAACAAGGTMAAATAATCTTTTTCAATTCCCTAGCCTTTATCTACAGAAAATGCTCTCTGGGTTTATTACCAGTTAACATGGATTCTGTACTGAGCATAAAARTAACTAAGCAGACTTCTACTATCTTCTTCTAAACTTTGGAAATGCGGAAGTTTTCCTAGAAAATTTCATTTGAATTAAATTCTTTTGGTTACCTAGATCTGATTGACAGCAAGAGATCCTCTCTCTGGATTGGGCTTAACAGTCTGAATCTCAACAGTGGCTGGCAGTGGAGCGGTGGCTTTCCCTTCAGATACTTTAACTGGGCACCAGGTAGCAACCTTTTTAAACATTTTTGGAATTAGTATTTTCCACCAATATGATGAATACTAAATGCAGTCCTGTAGTATTTCACATGAACTTGAGGAAAGGGAGCTGAATGGCTTGTGATACAAAAAATCTGAGAATTAGGTCTTCCTGCACTAGATATAACTCCTGGAATTTCAAGCAGAAGAGCAAAATAACCTCCTCTCCTATCAGAGACAGATAAAGCAAAAAGCACAAGTTGAGCTTGAGCATACTGGGAATGCCTTCAAGTCAGTGAAATCCTCKGTGTCTCTGCAGCTCCCACAGGGTTATCAGACCCCGCATCCTGCAAGGACCCAGCTGCCAATGAGCATTGCTCTTGCAAAGTCTCTTCACTTCTTATGCTTTTTTGCTCTTCTACTCTCATTCAAGAAACCATAAATAGAGTTCATGGCATTGACAGTTTATCTTTGAAAGTYATTTTATGATTGCCATGGCAACAGTTGGTTGCAGCACATTTTGAATTAATGCAAGCACAGTGCATCTTTGGGCCTCCCCAAGTCTCAGAGCTTTTATTTAGCTTTTATTTAGCACAGAGGATGAAGAGAAAGCCCAGAGTTGCTGAGTCTGGTAGAGGATTTTCTGCCTTCTGCTCAGCTGATCAAATTCCTCAAGTTTTGCAGAGCTGGCTCTCAGGTCAGGCAGCCCACACCCCCAGAGCTCCTGCATTTCCACACAACAGCTATGATCACCAGTTAATCTACTCATTTCCAGATCACTGCAGGTTTTTTTTTTTTTAAGTTGTGTCTTTTGTGAGGACAGGAGGGAAAAGCAATTCATCACACTGTAGGCTTCTCTGAGAAGAAAACACTGACCATTCCTCAGGGATAGTAGTCTTGGAGAAACTCCTGGAGTGTTGGTTGAAGAGGCAGGCAGAGGAAAGACAGCATTTGCCAGGRAATGTCAGGAGGTTCTGCTTGCAGCAAGGAGCAAATTTGCATTCAAATTCCAAAAGGACATGCAGAAAGGACCACTATTCTGTAATCAAATGTGGCAGAAAATGAAACAAGCATTGAAAGAAATATTTTGATGGGTACKTCTAAATTAAATTTCTTTATCTCTGGTAGAAAATAATTGTAGGAATGAAATCATGAGCTCATAATTGACACATGGAAAGACTGTGAGCAAATTGCTCTTTTAACTGCTGACATAAACCCTGTGCCACATAAAAATTATTTTTTATCCCATGAAGGAAGCCCTGAATCTGAGTCTGAAAAACTCTGTGCAGTASTAAATCCCAGAAGAGATGCTAAATGGGAAAACCAGCCATGTGAGCTGAAACTTGGCTATATCTGCAAAAAGGAAAATTCSACGAAGGATTCTTTCATTCTTCCATCAGGTATGTCAAGCAAATAAAAAAACACTTTTGATAAAGATATAATTTTTGTTACTGAAATTTAATGGCTATTTAAAAGAAAAAGATAAAAAGAGAAAAAGAAAAAGAAAAAGAAAAAGA